ACTGATTGGATCAAGTTATAAGTGTGGGGGGGAGGATGACTGAGGCAGCAGCCCCAGACGCCATCATTAGGGTGGGGAAGGAAGGAAGCAAAAGTAGCAGCTACTGAACCTGGTGGATGGCTATACCACCACTAGTGCTGCCACTGCCACTGCCACCGCCACCTCCACCAGCAGTGCTGCTGCGGAGGAGACAAAACTGCCCTGTTATGTCTTTGGGTTTTAAATTGCTGTTTTTCCGTGAAGCTCCATGGTCTGTAAGTTTTTGACCCTGCAATAGTGAATTACAGAATGCAGCCAGCAGAGATAAATGATTGGAAATGATCTATCATTGGAAATCACAGAAGCAAATATTAATTTCACCCTGAAGTTTTAAGATTGGCATTTTACATAATTTGCAACTGCAAAACTGCAGGCTCTCCACAGTCACCTCAAGCCATCCATATTGTACATACATTGGATTGCTGCAGAATATTACTAGTCTACCTAGATATAACATTGCCTCACTTGTGACCTTCATTGTACATACAGCACCACTAACTTCATTGAGAGATGCAGAGGCAAAGCCATAAATGCTAATGGGAGTGAAATTAGGTTATAAAAAGTCTTAGCTTTCGTATTTCCCAGCTCTTAAAATTGTAACCTCAGCATTACAGGGCTTTAAGTTTGTATTTAAAGTGCAAGTGAGATGTCAGGTGACCCTGAATTAGTATCGACATGGATAAATTTGCCCCGAGCGCACAACACAGTACAGACAATGAGAACTGCCTCAGGCAAATTTCCATTCAGGAGTTTTCCTAATGCCTCTCAGACCTGCATTTATAATAACTCCCCAAAGCTTTCTTCAGTTCCACCTTTGATGCAATTAGAGATCATGCTGGAAAACGTTGAGTACAAACTACATTTCTAATTTGGAACCAGTGTTTGACATGTCTTTTAGGTATGGCTGCAGCCCCTTCCTAGTCTTAATTCCATAGGCTTAATTCACAGCTTTGCACCATACCAGTGGCAACAAAGGTGGGAATTGTAGGGGACAAGCATGCTGAATGCGGCGCTGTTTAGCCACAGAAAGTAGAGGCCAGGGAGTGATCTCTGTGTAGCTATTAAGGGTGACAAACTTAGCCTGGGCCTTGGGGCAAATCCACTGGGCCAGCAGCAACTGGAGTGAAGTCGCATTTGGGTGGCAGCATGATTTCAGGACAGGGTGGCAATGCAGAGCTCTGGTTGGGCAGCAACACAGCTATGTTGGGGCAGAACCATTTTCAGGCAACAGGATAGGTGCAGAGGGGTGTGTTGTTGTATTTGGGCACCAGATTGGGTCCATCAGCACCAGGGACCCAAAATTCTGCAGCAAGCCCTGCCCCCTGCATGCAGCAGCTCCCTGGACCAGTGGATTTGGTTTCCAGCTGCTGTTCTAGTGAAGCCCCCTTTAGACGTGCAGCTCAAGGCATGATAGGAGCTGATGTGCGAGCTGCACAAATGCGCTTCCTGCCATGCCACATGTGCATGGTAGGAGGTGTGATTGTGGAATCATGAACTAGGTCCCATAACACCTTATTGTTGGTGCAATGAGAGCCTGAGATCATGTACAATTGCCATTTACTGGGTCAGACCATAGGTCTATCTTGCCCAGTAACCCATGTGGCAGAGAAAGGATGCTGAAAGGGAGAGTAAGCCAGGTATGCCAGGGTTTTTCCTTCTGTTCCTCTCTCACTTGCAACCTCCAGCATTTAAGGTCTAGGAAGTTCTGATTCAGAGGCTGTATCCCTAACTGCCATGCTCATGATCCTCATCACTTGCTCCCCTCCTCCAGCAAGTAGCAAACTCTTGTGGCAGAAGAGCCCTCACAGCTGATGCAGCCCCCAACTGCAGTCTCCCAGCTATGGGGGCGCCTGAAGCACCCCCACAGCCAGGAGCCCTGTCAACTGTGAGCTCCCAGGCTCTCAGGTGCGCAAGGGCCCCCAGCTCATAGAAAATGAGGGTTGGAAGGGACCTTGGGAGGTCATCTAGTCCAACCCCCTGCTCAGAGCAGGACCATCACCAACTAGGTCATCCCAGCCAAAGATTTCTTGATACAGATTTTGAAGACCTCCAAGGATGGAGCTTCCACCACCTCTCCAGGTAACCCGTTCCAGTGTTTTACTACCCTCCTGGTGAGAAAATTATTCCTAATACCCAACCTAAACTTCCCTTGCTGCAACTTGAGACCATTGCTCCTTGTTCTGTCATCAGCCACCACTGAGAACTGCCCAGCTCCATCCCCTTTTGAACCCCCTCTTCAGGAAGTTGAAGGCTGCTATTGAGTCCCCTCTCAGTCTCCTCTTCTCTAGACTAAATAAACCCAGTTCCCTCAGGTCTTTCTTCCTAAGTCATGTCCCCCAACCTCTTAACCATTTTTGTTGCCCTCTTGTGGACCCTCTTCAATGTGTCCACATCCCTTCTGTAGTGGGGGACCCAAAACTGGACACAGTACTACAGATGTGGCCTCACCAGTGCTGAATAGTGGGGAAGAATCACTTCACTTGCTGGCAACACACCTACCAATGCAGCCCAGTATGCCATTAGCCTTCTTGGCAATAAGGGCACACCATTTTTCTACTTTCTCTGTTGTAAACCAATGCATTTCACCCCAGGCTGGGGAAAAAACAGGATCAGTTTAGGCTCAGTACAAACTCTGAGAGCTGATGTACCAGATGCTTTGTTAACAGTATAACTGGTAAGGGGCAGAGGGTGATATCTCAACTTTGTGTTGTTCGGACTATAAAAGCCTGCTAGAGTTCCTCACAAAAGTTGAGTTTCTAACACTTTCATAAGGTCCTGTTGATAATTTCTCTCATTTGTTTACACTTGGATCAAATTAAATTGAATAGTTAGACTACATATAATTATTTTACTCACAAACACAGTGGGGGGAAAAATAACTCTTCTGATGACTTAAGCCTACCTCTGTCTTGGAGGGGGAAAAACATCTTAAAAGTTAGTCTTGCTGGCAGGTAATCCTTTCCGCATTTGCTGCTCTTTAAGGTTTTAAAGCTTTTTAAAATAGCCACGATATTTAATCATATTATGTGGAGCTTATATGAGATGAACTTCATTCTCAGGTAATTTTTAAAATTCATGTGATAGTTTATAGAAGGATAATATTCTGAGATTTTTATGAATTTGACTGTTGCCAAACACAAAGAAATTTGTCTTAAGGAACATTAAATACAGTTAGTGTGTAACTATGACTTTCCAAATGCAAGTACAAGTATTTCGAGACTATCCCAGAATACCAGTAAACCCACACTTTTAAAGACCATTTTCTTTTTGCAGTTTAATTTTTAGTATCTTTTCTCACCATTGTTGTAAGTGGAATTTGTCACAATCTGGAATTGCAAATATAAGCTTTCAGGTATTTGAAAAGGCCCAAATCCCTTGTAGCAAACCAGTTAATACATCATATGAAGCTCTTAGGATATTACGAATCACAATTCAGTCCATTTGGCACCATCCTAAATCCATAAATTTCAATAAGGTAGTACATAATACAATAAAATATGCTCTTTAACAAAAGCTAGCTAAAAGATTGGGCTTTTAAGAAAAATGTCCCTAACTTAAAAGTGAAAGATTTCTAGCCACTGTTTTACTAATTTAAAGAGGACTGCCTTGAACTCATGTCAATGACCATCTAGGTATAGACAGCTTAGGCACTTAGCAGGGCTGAGTGTTTGGTGCTGAAGGTAAAATTTTCATTTGAGGGGGATTGGATTCTTCATTTTCAAGCTATCTTTTTTGCTTTAACTTCCAAAAAATGCCACCTTCAGGCAGAGACCAAGCTAGAAAGTTAGATTTGAGTACCAGCTGGGGCAGGTGGCGGATGAGCTCCAGCTTTGGCTCTGGAACTCGGGGCCAAAGCAAGAGCTGAGCTTGGGTGGCTTATGCGGTGAAGGGGGCATGTGGTGATCGTAAGGGAGACTGCACGATGGAGGGGCACACAGAGGGAGACCTACTGTGTGGCTTGGGGTGAGGGGGAGACCATGTGGCCTGCCCTCTTGGCTACTTGCTGTCCTGCCCCCACTCCCTTTCCACTACCTGGCTTCTTGCTTTCAGCTCTGGCTGTCAGTAGCAGCCCCAACCCAGCTGGACCCAGAGCTGCTGCAACTATTTCTCCCTGGCTAGGTCAGGCCAGGCTGGAGGGAGTCAAGGGGCAAAGGCAAGTAGGGGGGGAAAAGGCAGTGGTTTAGGTCCTAGACCCCCTATCTCCCCCCACTGCTTTGGAGGGATTCCTTTAATATAACCCCCCTGATAATTAAATTCCTCATGGATAGAATTTCATTACTGGAGGGTAATTTGTAATTCAACGATGTCTTGGATTTGGGTAAATACAGTATTAATACTCTGAAACAAGGAATAGATTCAAAGAGGAGAATATTTTAATTTTCAGAGCAGCCTTGACTGGAAGAAAAAAAAATTGATCTTAAGGATCCTCTCTCATCAAATCTTCCTCTCCTTCCCAGGAACTTGTCCTTGTGAACTCTGCTGTCTCTGAAAAAACAGAAACATACTATAGGCAAGTGTACACAAAAAGGCACTCACAATAACCTATTTTTCAATGGATTTTTTTATTAAAGATTCATAACATACACTGACATGGCTAACCATTACAGAGTGAATCTTTGTCAGGACAAGCAAGTGCCATCATGGAAGGGAAGTTCAATGTAAAAAAAAAAAAAAAAAAAAATAAAAAACCCCCCCC